GGGTTTCCAAGCATATCGGAAATGGCACTGTTTCCTTAATGCTCGAACCTTTCTTCTGTATGGACAATGTTTAGACAAGCAAGATCATGGAAACAGTCCGCGCCGCAACCAATTATTATCCTCCTGTTCATCTTGGTCATTTATTTCCTAAAATAACTCCGCATATTTCACTATGCCAAATAATTGATTCACCAATATTATGTTATTAAGTTTGTATGAATTGACCATTAAACCTATTTTAAGTCATTCTGGGATAGCACCATGGAAGGCACAGATCATTGGACATAAAGCACTCTCTGGATTTTCCATTTAGATCTTGTAAGATTTTGTTGTTTCCGCTTTCAAGTGACGGTTTTGTAACTTTCTATTTTTTATTTTTACTACTATAACGGATGTATGCCAACCTCGTACGAAAGCAATTATGGTTGAAGGTCTGACCAAGCATTTTTTCAAAGCATTGATTATAGTCTGGGCACGAGAAAAATTCGTGAAAATTGTTGCGCATCTTTATGTGGAGAAGAAAACGTAATCATATCTGGAAATTCTTCAAACCTTAGAATTCGCTTAGTACTATTTTGAAAGTCGGTGAAAAGTAAACCATTATTTTAAAAAAAACGCTTGGCAGCAGATCTGCTTTATGATAAACATACACCAAGCAACCACTGCCAAATTCTGCACTTATACGCTTCAAATAGTAAAATTGGTCGATCATTACGAATTATCATTGATACGGATGATCTCGATGATTTGCTTGTAAAAAAAGGAACTCCTACACAATCTAAAATTAATATCGATAACAAAAATTCATTGAATAGATCATTTGCTGTTTTTTTAAAACACAGAAAGCTTCACAAAATCTCTCATCTGGTTAAACAAATTCTAATTCCACGGACAACGCATCCGAGAGAGAGTCTTTTTGGTGTCGGCTGCTCTCACAACAGTCATACACATTAATTAAAAGCTTTCAGTTGTGTGTTCACCCCGTACTGAGTGTAAAAATGAAACTAATGAAATGAGACAAGGTAAATCCGTATTCCCATTATAAATAATCTTGAAGACAAGGAACTTATACCAAAACCTTTACCTAATCTCCAACTGTTATGTGTCATTTTATGTTATATGAATGGAGTATGATAACACACTAGTCTTTGAAATTGTAACGCACATCTAAAATCTGCCATTATACACCATACCACGTCACCTCATCATTCAACACATATCTAAAGACTTTTTGCGTCAATCAAATAGCTTATTACGTCACACACGTATACATACACTTTATCACGTCAAACATGTATACTTACACTTTATCAGGTCACATACGTATACTTACACTTTATCACGTCACACGTATACTTACATTTTATCACGTCACACATGTATACTTACACTTTATCACGTCACACGTATTCTTACATTTTATCACGTCACACATGTATACTTACACTTTATCACGACACACGTATACTTACATTTTATCACATCACACACATCTAACTACACTCTATGACGTCACACACCTAATACATACACTTTATTACGTCACACATATACTTCCATTTTATCACGTCACACGTATACTTACACTTTATCACGTCACACACCTATACTTACACTTCATTACGACACACATATACTTCCACTTTATCACGTCACACACCTATACTTACACTTCATTACGACACACATATACTTCCACTTTACCATGTCACACATATACTTACATTTTATTACGTCACACACGTATGCATACATGTTATCACACCCCACACGTATCTCACACGTTTATTCTACACATTATCACGTCACTCACGTATACTTGAACTTCATCACGTTAGACACGGAGGCTGTATCTAATCACGCTACACTCACTCACAAACCTTCGTCACTTCCAAACACTTCATCATGTCACATTTCACACTTCAATTCGTCAAACAAGTATTTACACTTACAAAATGGCACCACTTTTCAACTACTTTGTAAAAAAGGTAATAAATATCCAATTAAATTGAAAACTCAATTAGAAACTATCAAATATTCAATGATGTCAGAGGAGAGTGCCTCTTATACTTAAAGAAATACAAATTTGAGAAAATCAGCTAATATGTATTTTTATTATTATAGTTGCTAAGTCTTTGGAGACTAGGTAATGCATGTTTAAATAATGTGTGGTAAGATAATATATTATGTTACCTGGAGGCGATTAAACGTTGAAATCTTTTCATTAAATTCTATACTGGCTGAAGTTACAACATTCTTTTTTGACAGAAGATCATCATTATCATGATTTTTGTATAATAAACGATAATTATTAAAACAGAGAGTATCAGATAGGCCTATCCTTAATATATTTAATATGATATTTTGTTATTTGTATCCACATGTAGAACTATTTACGTCAAAGATTAAATGATCATCAATTGATTGGGTTCTTTAACGAGATGCGAAAAAAGGTATGTTTATGAATAAGAGATGAATCGTGCTGAACCTGTAGGGTCAGTAAATGTATGTAGATGTAGTTTAGTACTACTCGGAAATCACGATTAATATAATACATGTACTTGTTTAATTATTATCATCAAAACAAATTGATATATTTCCTACATGTAATGTAACCTCATCAATATGTCAACCATCAAACTGGTCCATATTCATTACTTTAATGTATAGAGAAAATCTTCCAGTTTAGGCGCGTTCTAAGGATACGTTAAGTCATAACCTTAATTTGCATAACATCCGGTATTTAGCCGAAACCATAGGTACAAACACGCACGGGCCAATAACTCAATCCACGTGTGGTGAACGAGCTACTGAAAACCAGATTTACTATTCTCTTGGGATGTTATTGTTTGATGATTTTTTGAAAGACGGTTTTGAGAAGTATCTTGTTTTTTCTCCAGATTTTACAAGTATAACAATATTATGTACTTATTCTAAAAGACAATATAATTAGATTGGACATGCTAAACTCTTGGCTGACACTTATCTTATATTAACATTTTCAAATTCAATTTTCAAACTGGAAATACATCTCTTAATATGATTGTTTCATCTCTTGAAGATATCAAATCATCAGATCATACTACAAATTCCAGACGTGAAAATTAAATCGAGCAACTCCAATGTTGATGGAACTATTAAAGAATGCCAAAACTCCAAATTACATGACAATATCAAAAATAAAACTTGATAATTATCTTGTATTTTATGTGATCCGTCTACAAAACAGAATTATTTAAGTTAAGTTTAGTTTTTTTTAATTTGATCATATTTTCCTGATAAAGCCCTTTACAAAGGTCAAATAATAACAAATTTAATATAACATGACATAAGTATGCTGTTATTTCCCTGTCTATATAATCGTTGATTACTACCACAAACTTCAAAATAAGGCCTTAAATCCCCAATTTCACCAAGGATTGTTTTTTTTTTCAATTGGCCTGATCAATTTCTTTGATCGGCAAGATTGTCGCCTTGAATCGCCCCCAAACGTCCCTCTTAAAGGACCAAGGCGATGGGGCGTTTCACGGACGTTCTTCGAGTGATCGACTGCTTTCAAGTACGCACAAATACACGACCAACCATGGTTATGCTCGCTGGCTTTCAATCGACCGGTTACTAGTGGAACAAAAAAATCTTTCCAAAATAAGCCAGAAAAGAAATTTCAGTTAAAGTAATATGATATTTTGCGTTATCAACAATAGCTAATAATTTCAGTTACCTGCAGTGCACGTAATTGTCTTTACGTCAACTATACTAACTACGACCTACGACAAACATTATTATAGGTATAAAAAAACCTTGATGTTAGCAAGTTTATGATACATTACACTTGAACAAACATAAACTATATATTGAATGAGATCTTTACAGATTAAATAAGGTCCAATAACGTCATGTTAATATTGTCTTTGAGACCGTTATTTCCGATATTCTCCTACAGCTCAAATGTATAGAGGCCTGGATGTATTATAAGGCATGGAAATATAGGTATAAGGCTTGGATGTATTTTAAGGCTTGGAAATATAGGTATAAGGCCTGAATGTATTTGAAGACTTGGAAATATAGGTATAAGGCCTGGATGTATTTTAAGGTTTGGAAATATAGGTATAAGGCCTGGATGTATTTTAAGGCTTGGAAATATAGGTATAAGGCTTGGATGTATTTTAAGGCTTGGAAATATAGGTATAAGGCCTGGATGTATTTTAAGGCTTGGAAATATAGGTATAAGGCCTGGATGTATTTTAAGGCTTGGAAATATAAGTATACGGTCTGAATGTATTTAAAGGCTTGGAAATATAGGTATAAGGCCTGAATGTATTTTAAGGCTTGGAAATATAGGTATAAGGCCTGAATGTATTTTAAGGTTTGGAAATATAGGTATAAGGCTTGGATGTATTTTGAGGTTTGGAAATATAGGTATAAGGCCTGAATGTATTTTAAGGCTTGGACATATAGGTATAAGGCCTGGATGTATGTTAAGGCTTGGAAATATAGGTATAAGGCCTGAATGTATTTTAAGGCTTGGAAATATAGGTATAAGGCCTGAATGTATTTTAAGGTTTGGAAATATAGGTATAAGGCTTTGATGTATTTTAATACTTGGAAATATAGGTAAAAGGCCTGGATGTATTTGAAGGCTTGGAAATATAGGTATAAGGCCTGGATGTATTTGAAAGCTTGGAAATATAGGTATAAGGCCTGAAGGTATTTGAAGGCTTGGAAATATAGGTATAAGGCCTGAATGTATTTGAAGACTTGGAAATATAGATATAAGGCCTGAATGTATTTGAAGACTTGGAAATATAGGTATAAGGCCTGGATGTATTTTAAGGCTTGGAAATATAGGTATAAGGCTTGGAAATATAGGTATAAGGCCTGGATGTATTTTAAGGCTTGGAAATATAGGTATAAGGCATGAATGTATGTTAAGGCTTGGAAATATAGGTATAAGGCCTGAATGTATGTTAAGGCTTGGACATATAGGTATAAGGCCTGGATTATTTTAAGGCTTGGACATATAGGTATAAGGCCTGGATTATTTTAAGGTTTGGAAATATAGGTATAAGGCTTGAATGTATTTTAAGGCTTGGAAATATAGGTAAAAGGCTTGAATGTATGTTAAGGCTTGGAAATATAGGTATAAGGCTTGAATGTATGTTAAGATTTGGAAATATAGGTATAAGGCTTGAATGTATGTTAAGGCTTGGAAATATAGGTATAAGGCTTGAATGTATGTTAAGGCTTGGAAATATAGGTATAAGGCCTGGATGTATTTTAAGGTTTGGAAATATAGGTATAAGGCCTGGATGTATTTTAAGGTTTGGAAATATAGGTATAAGGCCTGGATGTATTTTAAGGCTTGGAAATATAGGTATAAGGCCTGAAGGTATTTGAAGGCTTGGAATTATAGGTATAAGGCCTGGATGTATTTAAAGGCTTGGAAACATAGGTAAAAGGCATGAAGGTATTTGAAGGATTGGAGATATAGGTATAAGGCCTGGATGTATTATAAGGCTTGGAAATATAGGTATAAGGCCTGAAGGTATATGAAGGCTTGGAAATATAGGTATAAAGCCTTGATGTATTTGACAGCTTGGAAATATAGGTATAAGGCCTGAATGTATTTTAAGGTTTGGAAATATAGGTATAAGGCCTGGATGTATTTGAAGGCTTGGAAATATAGGTATAAGGCCTGGATGTATTTTAAGGTTTGGAAATATAGGTATAAGGCATGAATGTATTTGAAAGCTTGGAAATATAGGTATAAGGCCTGAATGTATTTTAAGGTTTGGAAATATAGGTATAAAGCCTGGATGTATTTTAAGGTTTGGAAATATAGGTATAAGGCCTGAATGTATTTTAAGGTTTGGAAATATAGGTATAAGGCATGAATGTATTTGAAAGCTCGGAAGTTTTAGTAGAAGGCCTGAATGTATTTGAGTTCTGGATATAAGGCCTGAATGTGTGACTACAGGCTTGGAAGTATGTGCTTAAGGTCTTACTCTTACCCGATGATATATCTCTTTGGAGGATTCCACTAATACATGTATACAACTTTTGCCATTGTTTGGATTAGGTTTTTGATTAACGGCGAGGACAACAGAATGTGTAACTAATGGCTTGGAAGTTTGGTAAAAGGCTTCATTAAAAAAAAACAATAGAGTTTAAAGTTTAGAGGCGAGGCTTAGGGCATGAACGTTTCTTTGCATTGTATTAGCACTTTCAATGACGCATTTTCACACACTTAAAACTTACAAAATACAATCGACCGATTTGATGAAGATGTCTGAACAAAATTTTGCAAGAATGAAACTTTCCATATTTAATTAGAAAGAAGAAATGTTATGTTCCATTTATTTACAAAGGTTTGAACTAAATGCGCAGATTATATACGGAGATCACCTTCCTGAATGCAGTAGTAATATTTGAACTTCATCATTACATAATGAACAACTGTTTAGTGATAACTGAGATTTGAGATTAATTTAGTAATTACCAAGATATATAAAAATAATAATTATATTAATAACAACATAAAGAATAAGTTCATTCTAAGAACAATCCTGTTCATTCTGAAAAGTTTACAGATATCCAAAGTTTCATTAAAAAAACACCATATTTTATTCAATAAGGATGAAATATCTTACCTTGTAAAATTCATACATGTCAGTGGTATTTCCATAATAATCATAATAATAATAATATTGGTAATAATTAGACGAATTCAGTTCCATTTTCACTTCCATCTTTTTGAACTCCTGAACCACTTACGTCAATTACAATGCCAATTTGTTTGTTCAAAGAAAAACTGTTATTGAATTCCAACAGAAGTAGCAATTCCTTTTTACACTCTAAAATGTCAAGTTTTCAATCAAAAGTTGGTTTTTTGTCTTATATTGGTGAATGTGTAGAATACAATGCTACTCGTTAAGACTATTAGCAAGGCCTATCCTTAATAAAAGCGCTCGGAGCTTCTGATGCATTCAGGATGAGTGTTTCTTCAAGCTGTTTTCTGGTTTACCTTCAGGATTATATAGTCTGAATGACAAATACACAAACAGTCTGTATCAAACTTAACGCGGAAATAAACAAGAAATCACAGGTGCTTCACACTCAAAGTTCCGTGTAATAAGTAAAGGTTTCGGCTGACATCAGATTCACCAATTTTGAGAATTAATGGAAGGATCTATGTGTGCTCAAATATTTAGCTTTGGACAATGTCTGCTCGCCGTTCTTGGTTATTTCTTAATTTCAGTAAACTTTGGAAGACAATTTATCAAAAATGTCAAAATATGACACTATATTATCACTTTACTGGAAGAAAGCTTTCAGAAACGTCTGTGTTTGTAGGAACTGTCTAGAAAATAGTCTTCTTACAAATATCTCCAAGGTTTCAGATTAACGCTTTTTATATAAATTTATGTGTCACAGAAACTCATATATTGTCTCAGCATGTAACATTCGATTTAATAAGAAATTCCCTTCTTATGTCACTCAATTACGAATTGAATGAAAGAAACAATTAATAGTCACCTATAAAAGTAGAAAACTTTTTCGAAGTAAATTTGTCGCCAATGTGCCTTCTTATTCTGTATTTACCACTAGCCGTATGTAGATCACTAAATTATGTATCTACTTCAATAAACTGTTCTCAATACTGTTATAAAATATTTGTCACTTTATAAAAGAATTATTTCGGTTCAATACAAAGTAAAGTTGAAAAACGATCTTTAACATTGTTGCTTATCGTTATATTGTTTTAAGAAAAGTAACAAGAATGTTGTTCGTCTCAGAGTATCACTCAATAAAATACTTAACAAATATTGCCGGCAATCCAAGTTGTGCAAACAATTCTAATATATCCTACTTCAATCTTAACCACGTTCCACGGAGGGGTCGTTATTTACAGATGACTGTCAAGACTGACTACAAAATATTATGAAGCATCAGTTAGCCGTGCTCTCTTCATATATCCTATGTATTAAAGATTCGCTAATATCTTCATTTATATTATCTCCTACACTACCTTATCGATTGAACAATCCTTCCCAGTCTGTAAGTGGCGCGATTAATACATGGGCTGGGTATTTGATGGGCTAACTGTATGCTCAGTGTTTCCTATCTCCCCTCTCAAATACAAAGAAATCTTGTGGTTTGACAGTGACACATGCTTAAGCCAATCGAGGTAAATGTTGCAGAATAAAGCGCCAATTTCTTTGCCAGTCCAGAGTTCTATACCAATCTGCTCAGCTACGTTTCGCATTTTCGTTTGAGCATAAAGAAATAGTGGTGTGTTGGTATCAGAACTATTATTAGAACAGTATTAGGTACATAGGGTATTTTTCTAAACAGGATAACTGGCATTTCTCATTTCATTTCAATTCCCTCTCTCTAAATGTATCTTATGTACATTACTATGAACACATAGATTTACAGTCAAGCAATAAGTAATTTAGCGATTTCGTCTTTCACTAGAATATGGTGCGAGTTCTATATAATAGTCTAAAACATGGTTTGATGAACTAAATCGGAAACAGAATCATAGAAAATGACAATATATATTATTACGCTCATTACATGGTAATCTGGGTGGTAATTGCCTCTTGTTCTTAAGCGTGCTATGTAATACAATAATTTCACCATATAAACCTTTTAAAACATATATAAAGGATAATGAAAGTTCATTCTGGTCATTTGAGATTGTGATTATGTTTAATGATGTACAGACAAACAGGTCAAACGTAGTTTGTTGTGTAATTTTGTTGTGGATAATTACCGAATTGCTGACTTATTGGCCTAATCTACCGTGGCCCATTGGGGACATTTGCAATTTTTTTATTTTTCGACGTTCTCAGTGGTTTGAGAGCAGAAGAACTGCAGAAAACAGGAATTGAAATTGTGAAAATTCGAGAAACCGACAAAAAATAGAAGGAATGGAGGGAAATAGAGAAACTTTAATTGGAAAGATGACACAAAATACATAAAAATCACAAAAATTCATAAAAACAATAATTAATCAAAATCGTAAAAATAGTTAAAACATGAAAATTAAATTTTCCAAAATATTATGAAAAACACAAAAAATTCAAAGTGAAATCGCAAAAATTAATTTCAACCGTGGTGGTAATACATTTCAACCGCGGTTGAAATTAATTTTTGCGATTTAACTTTGAATTTTTTGTGTTTTTCATAATATTTTGGAAAAAATTAATTTTTTATTTTTACGATTTTGTTTACTCATTCTGTGCCCTATTATTCTCAATGGATCTTTTTATACGCCCACACATTAATGTGGGGCGTATATAGTCGTCGCCCCTGTCTGTCTGTCTGTCTGTCTGTCTGTCCACTATTGTTTGTTGACACGATAGAGAGCTGGGTTCTTGATGGATGGAACTTGGTGTGGGTCTTTGTAATCACCCATGGATGAAGCCCATGAAAATCAGACGAATCGAAAAATATTTACTATGAGTTATTGCCCTTGTTCTTGAATTGTTTGTGGACACGTAAGAGAGCTGGTTTCTTGATTGATTTTGACGAAACTTGGTGTGAGTGTTTATAATCACTCAAGGATGAACCCTTTTGAAAATCAGACCAAGCGAAAAAAAAATTACTACGAGTTATTGCCCTTGTTCTTGAATTGTTTGTGGACACGATAGAGAGCTGGTTTCTGGATGGATTTTGACGAAACTTGGTGTGAGTGTTTGTAATCACTTCAGGATGAACCCTATTGAAAATCAGACCAATCGAAAAATATCTATTATGAGTTATTGCCCTTGTTCTTGAATTCATTGTGGACACGATAGAGAGCTGGTTTCTTGATGGATTTTGACGAAACTTGGTGTGAGTGTTTGTAACCATTCAAGGATGAACCCAATTGAAAATCAGACAAATCGGAAAATATTTGATATGAGTTATTGCCCTTGTTCTTCAGAACCCGTTCAATTTTTAGTTTGTAAACACTCTGGAAGGCACAATTCTTGATGGATTTTTATGAAACTTGGTAAAATTGTTTAATATCATCCAATGATGAACCCTATCCAAAATGAAAACAATCAAACATTATTTTATATGAATTGATGCCCTTGTTTTTGAAAACGCGTTCAATTTTTAACTTGTAGTTGTAAACACTCAAAAATCGTTCAATTAAGTAAACATTCTTGATGGCACGGTTTTCGACAGATGTTTCATTTACTGATAGTTCTTGTTGACCTCTCGGACGACTTGGCTGCCATTACAAAAGTGGGCGTATTACGATGGGGCATCGCTATTTTTAAATTTTGGTATGTATTTAAATTTCAACATAGAGTACGTACTACGAAAGCCTATTAGGGCCAAATTCATTGATAATATTTTTTATTTAAAAGTTGTAATTACAAGTTGTAAA